ATAAAAAAAAAAAAAAAAAAAAAAGTGTTACTCTTGTAATGAATAATTAGACATTAGCTCTGAGGAGCTCTGCATGCTATTTTCCTATTTCTTAAAAATGAAAGCTACAATCAGAGCACTTAAGCAACTTGAGTGCCAGAGTCTTCCTTGGACATAAAGTCTAAAACATACCGCAGCAAGAGTCTGCTAATCTGCTTGCAAGTTCACATTAACTTCTTACAGTTACTGTCAATAAGTGAAAGTCACGGTGCAGGCTCCATAAAAATCAGATTTATGCAAGTTTAATAAGCCTCATTGAAAGTTATTTCTCAGATTTTCATGGTCTGGTTATCTTGGAAAGCATGTAGGAAAGAAAACAAAAACTCTCTCAAACCCTACATTCTTGCTGCAGCACAGAAAACAAAGGCAAAACAGTAATTTCCTCTACTGTGCTGTAGAGAGAAGTCAACATTTTTGCTCAGTGCAATTCTGTGAAAGCCTACGTGGTGGGAAACATTTCTTTGTCTTATAGAAGCTTGGTGGTGTATTAAGAGATAAGCTTTTAATTAAATTGTACTTCCTGAGAAGCTGCTAAGGACTATCTCAGTGCTATCCTTCTGACAGGGCCATCAATTGTGGCACTGACAGCAAGTGGGCCTTGTATCTCAGAGCCATGAAGGATTTTCCATTTCCCCAGTATTCGTTTCACAATCAAAACATGAACTCAGTTATGTTATACATAAACCTATCACGCCATTCTTGAATGAGACCATACAATGCATGTCAAAATTTAGTAAAGCTCTACAGTTAAAGTTAACACTCAGAAAGCGTGCAAGTCAGAAGGGCAGAATTAGACAGTACAATTGTTTCATATCATTAGCTTTTTACCTTATTCGTTGTTTAACTAGTGAATGGAAAATGGGAAAGTGCAAGTTATGACTGTGTCAAGGAGTTACAGTAGCCCTGGCTAGTGACTATTACTGAAAAAGCACTGTAAAGATCATGGTTAGATGGTAGAAAAATTTGATGTTGCTTGGAAAGCTGCACTACTGTAAATACTGAGAAGCCTTGAGACTGGAAATCAATGACTAGTGAGAAAACAGATACCAGATACCCTAACAGAAAGCAGCTCCACTGAACCATTCAGACTGGAGTTTGGAGTTTGCAGTTCTCTTCTTTGTGTTTCTAGTTGTTCTTTTGTTCTCTTTGAGTATTTATTGAGTAATTATCCTGCAGCAGCTGAGCATCTCAAGTTTATTTGTATTACTTAAAATATTTTGTCAATGTGCCTTCTTCATTGATATAAAACTATGGGAAATTACATTAAGTGTAGTTAGGAACCATAATAATGCTCATCTAATGTGCACTATAAACTGTTTTTCTTCTCAAAATCTACACATTTCCTTTGTTTCCCTTTGTTTGCTGGTTACTGCTATTTGCTGCTTCTGGTTTTATCTAGGATTAAAATTTCTTTAGAGAATTGACATCACTGTCTGTGTTTGTTAATACTCTAACAAAACCAGCAGAACAAAATAAAACGTCGAGTAAATGTGAAGAGTGAAAGTTTTTAGTGCTTTTATTTTTCTTCTGAAAGAAATTTTGACTTTTTAAATACCCGACTCTTGTACTGGCAGACTTAGAAGCACATCACTTTCGGGGTGCAAAGAGCATCTACTCCACAAAGAAACCTATAGCTCTGTGTCATACAAGTGGCTGTTTCCAACACAGATTCATAATTACCACCCTGGTGGAAGCTACACAGAGAGACGTGTGCCTGGTTTGGTGGTTAAATGTCCCAGTAAGATTAATGTATGCACAACCCATTATTTTATATTTGTGTATTTTTTTCATGTTATTTGCTCCATCTATACTACCTCTTTCCATGACTCTGGTTTGGTTTTACTTATAATGTTCTAATGCCACTATGGCCTTATTTAATTTGCTCCTTAAATAATCTTCGTAAGACCTGTCTTCTGTTCCCTCTGTTAGAAAAAAAATGATATTGTCATACAAATTAGTCTATGACTCACTGTGAACAATGACAGTCTATTGACCGCATAGGTTGCAAGGCGTTCTTAGATAATAGATGGTTTAGATCTCTTCTCACTTCTTTGACTTTAGAGAACATGGTTGTCATGACACAAGTTGACTTCATAGCAAACGATCTGAAAAAAGAGCCAGAGAAAAGAAGCAATATTTCCAATGTTATACAGGAAGCATTCATAGGGTTGAGGTTTCCCAAGTCCAGGCCAATCACTTAATATCTTGTTCATTCCTCATCACTGTAAGGTGGCTTAGAAAAGATATACAGTAAATATAACAGTCTTTTGAAATGGAAATAATTGGATTCAGAGCTAGTAAGTATAACTTTACCTTCAACCTCTTGCAAAGATCCATACCAAAAACTTTTTTTTTTTTTTTTTTTTTTTTTTTTTTTTTTTTTTTTTTGAGGGCAATGCAATCACTGAATATACAATCTTTGGTGGTTTTTTTACCTGAAATATTTACAAGTTGTAAATGCTGCATACATGAAGACTGCAAATGATGCTTATGCATATTGCACCTTTATTAGGATTTTTTGTACAAATCAGATGCTGTTTTCCTCACTTATAAACTCCACTGAATTAAAAACTGAGCAGTCATTCTGGAGAAGAACAATACGAGAACAATATAAGCTATAGAAAATACGATGATGTCACCACTAGAGTCTCCAAGCAACTGCCATACATGATATGTTTGTAGCTTTTTAACAGCTTTGACATATTCCAATGAGTGCATTATAATTACTGACATCATTACCACAACTGCACTGAAAATAGAGCCAAGTGCAATTTTTATGGGAGTTATTTCATTGAAGGTGAGAAGAGTTTCACAGATTTAGTCTTTTATTTCTCAAGATCATATTCTATCACTGGGATGAAAGTGAGAAACATATTTTGAAAAATAAAAACTTTAAAATAGTCTCTAGTGCTTGGATCTGGGCGTGAAATCGAGAGATTAATACTAGAGAAGTACTCTTTTAAAAACATGGACTTTTATTTAATGCTCTGTATATCTTTAAAAGCAAATAATATTACTGTGAATTTCCGAAAAGTAATGATCAGTACTTCAAGCTTACTGGCAAATGTTTACTTGATTTACAAAAGAAATAAGTATTCTGGTTTTAGCAACACAAATGTGCTCAAGTGCTCAGTATTTGAAGATTCAGAAAGAAGAAGTGGTTTTAAGCATGTTTTAGGATCTCACTAGCCCAGGTAGCCAATCTCTGTACTACAAAAAGGAACATAAATAGGCTCTGCTAATAATTACAAACTTGACAACAATTTATTAGAACACATGGCTTATTCAATAGTGTAGTTTTAATTTATCTATCATTTTGCTTAAACATAAAATGGTGAAAAGAAAGCATCCTTTTGCTGTACTGTCATTAAACAAACACCAGTTGTCTTACCAGCCAATAATTTAGTATCATTATATTGCTATTAGTTTTAAGCAAGTAAGATTTAAGAAAAAACATATTTATTTTATTTGAGAGAGAAATTATTTGTTCATTTGTGATAAGTGTTCATAAAAAATTTAGAGGCACATGATACGCACATTCATTTCAGGACTGTTTTTAAATGGTAGCCCATGAATATTCTCATACTGGATTCTCACTCATTACAGATATTTTTGTGTATGTTCCCTGACTAGAGTGTAACAACCACTATCATGGGCTTCCTAAAATAGAAAGTATAGAAATTGATTAAACGAAAGTGCAAACCTCAGTCAGTAAGTATATAGCATGCAGTCAGTTCCATTCCTTTTTTCCAGTTGTAGGACTGCAAGAAAAACCTAGACAATATTTTCTTTTTCATAAAGTTATTTGGTTTCATCTTACTCACATGTCTATAACACATTCCCATTTCATAGCCTTTATATCACAACAATTCTTCTATTAAAACAATCTAAGTGGTTTCCAAATATATTTAAAGGTTTAAATTTTATTCTATTCTTCTTGATTTGCAAACATAATTTTATTTCACAGTACATTACTTTCTATTACACACTTTTGTACTTTATCATTAATACCCTTTCATTATTTCAATAAATGAAACTAAAAGTAGTGTTGACTGTTTGGCACCGTGCTTCACTAATCTCACCATGCATCAGACAGCTGTAGGACAATCAAATAAATGACTGCAACACACCATTGTTTTAATTATATTTATTGATTCAAGGGTGTTTAAATCCTTGGGTTTTTTTCTTGAATAATAATGTATTTATGTCTATAAATTGATTAATGGATTACCATCTTTATCATAAAATAACCAAATCTACAGCTGATTAAGTAATGTGTTTCTTGTACAAATTAGCTAAATTATACATGCCAAACACATCACATTCCCCATTTAACAGGAGAAGCCGCTTGCCAGGAAATCTTTTTATCATTAGCTCTTCTCAAGTGTGATACAGCTGTTAATGAAAAAGCAGGACACTTCAAAGAGGCAACACTGCAAAATGCAGCTGAGCATCCTACATGGGCATTGTTGTAATATATGTGGTGCCCTTCAGATTTTGTGCAGGGTGCATTACATTACACCACACCGGTTAGTAGAGAAGTTTATATTTCCTTTATTTTTTACTGAATACATCATCTCTCAAAACAATTTGAAACAATGAAAATTTGATTTACAGTGTATGAAAAATACATGCATGCTCAGAGCCAGCTTGTAATTAATTCCTTCACTTGGTCTGACTAATTTCAGCTCATAAAAGTAACTTCTCACCAACGCAAGCAGAAGATATGAGAAAAATGATCTTCTCATCACCAGGGCAGTTCATTTTAAGAGCTTGAGAAAACTTGCTCTGCCCTCAAGAAAGCAGAGCAAGCCACGCTGCCAAGCACATACAGGATCCTTTTCTGCTCTGTAAGTGAATTCTGCTCTTCGGTGGTCTCAGCTCCAACTCACTGACCTGTATAGACAGTAATCTGTCTGCCATTACCATACCTCACCTATCTTTTGGATATGCAAAGGCAAACAATTATTTTCTTCTTGATCATGAGGAAATGAAAATCATTACAGAGGCCACCCAAGGACAGAGAGTGGGTGATGGAGTTCCTGAGGCAATCATCTTCTTCAAGGCAGAATTTTAAAATCCAAATTTCAAGGCTGTTGATAACACTTTGTAGTTTTTAAAGAAACCTTTTAACAGTCTTGTGTAAGCTCTGGTGGGACACTGATTGAAACTAAGATTTATGTCCCCAAAACATTGTACTTCTGTCTATAAATTAGTGGATTCCCGATTTTATTGTGCTATGATAACCATAACCGGTTACCAAACATGTTTGTGTCAATCAGAGAAATTGCCCATGCCTCAGAGATGTTTGCCGACCAACACTACAAAGTGTGGCATATGCCAAAATATCTAATATATATCCCACAAGGCATATGTAAAAAACATGCCTCTGAAGTTAACTCAAGATTGACACACTATACATATATATTATTATGTATATGTAATAGAATAGAGGTATGGATCTACATTGTTCCAGAAGGAATACTTTGAAAGATTTTCTCTCAAGGTGATGTAAGAATACTTAATTCTTATTTAAAAGACCCTCCAAATGTTTCTTAGCTGTTGTCATCGTGCATAATCGAAGTGGTTGTGGCTGGAGGGCACTTGGCCAGTTCCACTGGTATAACTCAAAGGAGCTCAAAGAGCATGCTAAATTTCATAATGGGATTTTGTATTAAGCATTGCTCAGAGATGCAGAAATATCTGAAGGGGTTTTTTAAAATTATAAAATATTTCCGATCATTCCACTAGAAATCTGGCCAAGAAAAGAGACAGTAAAAATCTTTACATCTACTCTTCACAAAATAAAGAGGACATCAGATATTTTAGGAAACAAACATGAAAAATGTTGTTACTGACATGGTCATACAGAAGGAAGAAACAGAAAAGGACAGTGGAGTTTAAGAAGAAAGAAGACTGCTCACATCTGAGAAAAAAAGCACCCATTATGTGATTCACTTAAAGGAACAGCTCAAGGGTGGCTTTGAAAGAGTAGCTCAATCTATTGTACATTAATCAGCAAAACCATAAGTTGTTCTAGTTTGGCAGCTCATAAAGTATTAATTTGTTACCTAAGAGAGACCTGTAACAGCTATGTATTTCTGCAGAATGTAAAAAGTGAAGCACTGGTATCTTACATTTACCAAAGAACATACAGATTAGTAACTCTTTTTAGCCATTTTTCATTGTGTATGTCATGGTATATACCATACACCTCATACTCATTGCCATAGAAAATGGGCGTTTTGAGAACCTACCTTGAATTTTTCAGAATTGTGTCATCCAGATTTAGCAACTACACTGTACATTCCTATAATTTCACCTGTATTATTAACCAACTCTAATGTTAATATGCCAGTAACAATGAAAGTGGAAATACTTGGTAATTTATAGGTTGGTTTGGCTGTACTGAAATTACTTTCAACCACAGTAAACAAACCAAACATCATAAGGCTATTCTTTCAGAAAATGAATGAAGAGGGAAATTAAGACTAGATACTACAGCTATAAAAATAACTGTAGAATTCCATCCCTGAAAATAAGGAGCAGTTCACAAGCAGGTGTTGTGGCTTAAGCCCAGAGCAACTAAGCACCACACAATCACTCACTCACCCTTCCCCCATCCCTGCAGTGGGATGGGAAGAAAATATAACAAAAAGCTCAGAATTGAGACAGAGGCAGGGAAGGATGACTCACCCATTGTGGTCACAGGCAAAAGACAGACTCAATTTGGGAAAAAAGCCCCCATCAATTCAATTTGAACACCACCACCACCACCACCACCACTAATTTAGGACAGTAAGAAATACAACCACATCTTAAAAACACCTTACCCCTGCCCCTCCCTTCTTCCTGGGCCTCTCTTTCTTCACGATTGCTTTACTTCCCACCTGTCAGCAGCACAGGGAGACAGGGGATGAGGGTTTTGGTCAGTTCACCACATGTTGCCTCTGCCACTCTTTTCTCCTCAGGGGGAGGACTACTCACACTCTTCCCCTGGTTCAGCGTGGGATCCCTCCCATGGGAGACAGTCCTCCATGAACTTCTCCAACGTGAGTCCTTCCCATGGGCTGCAGTTCCCAAGCTACTCCAAGGTGGGTCCCTGTGGCAGTCTGCAGTCCTCCCAGCAACAGGTTCCCCTTCTTAAATACATTATTTAAGAGGCACCGCCAGATGCATCACTGATGGGCTTGGCCTTGGCCAGAGGCAGGTCCTATTTGGAGCTAGGGAAGCTTCTAGAAGCTTCTTACAGAAGCCACCCCTGTAGCCCCTTCCCCCACTACCAAAACCACCCCACACACAAACCCACAGCAGGACACTGTTTCAGGTTAGCAATCATACTACAGAGGGAGAAACTGTGATCTGAGGAAAGCCTGGGAGAACAGCATCCTTTTATAAGGCTATTAGTGAGGCTGCATTTCTCACTCATATGTAAGCAGTGATATATGAGGAACTCTGGTGAGCAAGGCAGCAGGTATAAACTATGCATTCAGTAAACACTTCTGTCTTAGCCTTTACTGTCATCCCCATTAGTATTACAGCAGGTTCAAATTTGCAGTTGTTGTGGGGTGTTGTGTTTGTGTAACAAGAAAGACCCCCAAAAAACACTTTCATTGGCATATAGAAAGGAAATATGATGCAATTATTACCTACAGTTTTATCATTTTAGAAAGTTAAAGTGAATTTGAAATTAAATAACTGTAAACTTACTTTAGGCACTGAATAGGCTTGGCTAGTCAAGGCAGACAAAATCACAAGATGTGAACTTGAGCATTATCTTCATTCACAAAATGTAATTCTTTGAGCAGCTCCCTCTTCAGATGACAAAAGTAAGTTTACAGTTATTTAATTTCAAATTCACTTTAACTTTCTAAAATGATAGACAATTATGAATACCTAAAGTCTAGGGCGAGCTTTTAGGAGAATATAGATGTTTCTTTGAAAAGTAATTGTTTCAAAATCTAGATTTTGTAACACTTGAAGGATAAGTCTATATCTGAGACATCACTGCTTCCACAAGTCCAGTACACTGAAACAATAATTGCTGAATTTCAAAGAAAGGGCCAACTCTGTTTTCCAAAGGCAATTCATGACAAAGTTTAATATATATGATTTCCAGGTTTCACTCTCAGAAGATCTCTTTGAAATCTTTCCCTATTTTCTCTTTAAGCTAAATGATGCTGATCTGGGTGCACAAAGCAATAGCTAAGCAATTAGTCGATGCGGTTATTCCACCAATGGGCAATACTCAATGAATGATAGGAGAAGAGATAAAGCACAAAAATCAGTCTTTGTGTGTCTAAAGTCACTGCATTCCCACTATCCCTCAGATGTTTTATAGCACAACATGAAAAGGAAAGAATACCCACTAATGATACTTAATTGGCCGTTCAGTACATACATCAAGTGACTTTTCTCATTTTCTAGCTGGATTTTTCACTGGATTTTTTTTGAATGGTTGAATCACATAGAAACTGCTTCTTTTTTATTTCCTTCTAGTAAACTTCTAGACTTTGATGTATTTTGTCTTTGAAACTGTTTTTTTGGGTTTTGGTGGTGGTTTGTCGGTTTTGGTTTTTTTAAGTCTAAGCACCTAATAGCCAAATCAATATTCCTCAGCAAAACTGCATGAAAACCAGAGGTATAATTGCAATGCAGTTTTATGCAAACAGCAAATTATACAAACTTACCAGTGATTCCAGCCGTTGATCTTAAGACATGTGTGTTTAACTTTTGATTGTGGATAACAAACTCATGGAAGATTCCAATTAGTTTTTTCTATCATAATTCTTCTTAAGGGACTATGCACCATTATTATACCTAGGAAAATAAGAATATAATAGTAATCCTATAGAAAATCTTCTTTCTTTCACTATCAAACAACAAGAAGTAGTAAAATACACAGCTGATATATTTTCACTTATATTCAACACAGAATCACGTAGCTGTACTACCAGTAAGTTTGTCTCAGTGACCTGTAAACTTCTGCAATTCTTCTGTCTCTATGCATGATTCATATACAACTAATTCTTCATGGACAAACATCTAGGTCTTGCAGCAGTGTTGCTTCTTATTTGTTTTAAAAGCTGATAATTTGGATTTATTCAAATATTACCTGACTTTCTCTACAAATATATTCCAGGTAAGTGCCACATACATCCCTCATGACCACACTTCTAGATTCCTTTGTAGAGCACACTATAGAGTTGTAGTGGGTGGATGCTGGCCAGCAGCTAAGCCTCCATACCACCTCTGACTTATCCCCTGCCCACCACACCGGTGGGACAGGTGAGCGACAAGGAAGAGAAAAAAACAAGAAAACTCATAGGTCAAGATAAAAGACAGGTTAGTAAGCAAAAGAAATGGAAAAAAAAAAAAAAAAGTGATTCAAAGGCAATCAGTTACTACCTCTCACAAGCAGATGGATACCCATCCTGTTATGATCACACCTCCCAGCTGTATAGCTGAGCATGATGTGATCTTGCATGGAATATCCCTTGGGCCAATTCAAGGCAGCTGACCTGGCAATATCCAATCCCAGTTTCTTGCCCAATCCAGCCTGCACACTGGAGGACACAGAGTAAGAGAAAAAGAAAACCCTAATGCTGGGCAAGCACTGTTTAGCAGTAGCCAAGACATTGGTGTGTTACTAGCCCTGTTTAACACAAATCCAAAACACAGAACTATGCAGGCTGTTATGAAGAAAGGTAACTTCATTCCAGTCAGACCCAGCACAGCAATTCATCTAAAGAACATGGCCTATGGTATTTGTTTTCCCTGAAACCAGTGCACATACTTTATGTTCTATTTTAAATACTGCGAGTTATTCTGAATGGCTGCTTTTTTTTTTTTTTTTTTTTCCCCTCCCTACAGGCTCACTATAAACTTGAAAATATGAATTGTATTTATACATCAACACAGCATGAAAAAGGCTCTTAAAAAGTTACAAGCCAATGCTCAATTGCTGACTATAGGCTTTACTCTACACTCCAAAGAACAATTACTAGATTTCCCCCATCTAGTCCAGAGGAAAAAAAAAAAAAAAAAAAAAAAAAAAAAAAAAAAAAAAA